GTGTGTACTATGTCGTAATTCAAGTTGGACGAAAACATCAGTTGATTGTGGTCGAGTGGAAACAGGTTTAACTGAACGCATTGCGTTTGTAAGCCTGTTTGCGTAGGAGGTTAAATCCATGTTCATCGAAGAGGATGAAGGATCCACGAACTCTCCTGGAAGTCGAAAGGTCGTAACATAAACGAGTTGAGACACAGTGTATCCAATGTCAGCTTTCACTGCATTGCGAATACCTAGTTAGACGAGTGGAAGTGCATCAGTTCACTGAGAAATGTTGGCGGCTGATAGTGACGCTTTTAGTTGTCGGTGAAAGCGTTCTATTAACCCGTTTGCTCGTGGGTGGAAGGCTGTCGTTCGGAAGCGAGTGATTCCTAATTTTGCGATTAGACAACGGAAAAGTTCAGATTCAAACTGACATCCACGATCTGTAGTGATGGTTGTTGCGCAGCCGAAGTTTGCTACCCACCTCTCGACGAAGGCGCGGGCCACTGCTTCAGCAGTAATGTCTTTGATGGGTACTACTTCTGGCCATCGAGTAAAACGGTCTACTCAGGTTGAAAGATAAGAATATCCACTTGAATCCGGTAAAGGTCCTACCAAATCCAAATGAACATGGTCGAAGCTAGCATCGGTAGTGTTAAACGAGCCTAAACGATATTTGTTATGTCTAAAAACCTTAGATTTCTGGCAGCTAACACAGGAGCATGCCCACTCCCTCACGTTTTTATTCATACCAGACCAGCAAAACCGTTCTGCTATAAGCTTGATGGTTACACTAACACCTGGATGAGAATGTTTGTGCAACGTATCGAAGACGTGCCGTCGATATTGTTTCGGCACGATTGGGCGATCCCTACCTGTAAATGTGTCGCAAAGCAAGGTTTTCTTACCTGTTCCCATCTGTTTAATTTGCAGTTTGAGTGTTGTTGAGGCCAACTCGTGCCGAAGATCACTGTCTTCTTTTTGAAGTTAGGCGAGTTTTAAATGGTCGATTCCCTGGAAACTGTTCAAGGAATTTATACGAGACAAGGCGTCTGCAACTACATTGTTTGCTCCAGAAATGTGTCGAATATCTGAAGTAAACTGCGAAATGTAGTCCAGTTGTCGAGACTCACGTGGTGAGTACTTGTCTGAAGATGAGCTTAAAGAGAAGGTAAGAGGTTTATAGTCGGTAAAAATGGTGAATTCACGGCCTTCGATGTAGTGTTGAAAATGCCATACTGCACAATACATAGCTGGGAGTTCTCTACCGAATGTGCCGTACCTCGATTCAGTGTCTAGCAACCGTCTAGAGAAAAATGCCAAAGGTTGCCAGGAGTGGTTAACCCGTCGTTGTTAGATTCCTCCGATTGCCGAGTCGGATGCGTCTACTGCGATATTAATGGGTGCTTCAGCGTCCCGGTGAGCGAGCATTGTTGCTTGAGTGATGAGTTTCTTTAACCGTGGAGAATGCCTTTCGCGCGGTGTCATCCAGGTTGATGGATTTCGCATTTCCACGAAGTTGGTCGGCAAGAGGTTTTATAGGGGACGGTATGAACCGTCTATAAAAACTTACCAGAGCGTTAAACGTGCGCAGTTGCTTGATGATGGCCAGTTCTGGGTAATCCAGAGTGGCCGCCACTTTTGTTCTAAGGGTTTGGATACCTTGCGCATCTATAGTGTGTCCTGAGAAGTCTAAGGAAACGGTTCCGATTTGGCATTTCTAAATGCTTACAGTAATGCCATGTTTTTGTAGTCGGTCGAAAACAAGATCCAGATGCTGGAGATGTGACTCTCTGTCCAGACTTGCTATTAGGCAGTCATCAACATACGCATGTATGAAGTTCAGACCTCGGAAAACGTCATCTATTAACCTTTGGAAAGTTTGTGCCGCGTTTCTCAGACCGAAAGGCATTCGCAAAAATTCATAGAGTCAGAAGGGAGTTATAATAGCGGTTTTCGGAATGTCGTCAGTCGCCATAGGAATTTGGTTATACGCTTTAACCGAGTCGATTTTTGGAACGACAGTTGTACCTTTCAAGGTGGCTGTCAAATCGTGAATGTGAGGCAACGGGTAATGATCGGGAATGGTTTTTACTTTCAGTCGCCGATAGTCACCAGTTGGACGCTAATCGTTGCTGTCCATTTTAGGAACGATGTGCAACGGAGATGCCCATGGGCTATTTGATGGTCGTATGATTCCTAAGTCTATCATATGGTCGAATTCGTTTTTCGCCAACCTTAACTTCCCCGGGGCCAGTCGACGTGCTTTAGAAAATACAGTTGGTCCTGTAGTCGTGATGTGATGTGTAACGTTGCTGGTTACACACGGCAGTTTCGATTGCGATTGGTAAATACCAGGATACTTATCGAGTATTGGTTGGTAGATGGGGTCTGTAGTGTGCTTAATAAAGACAAGAGATAACCTGCAACCAGAAAAAGAAATCAAACAAACAGATAAATTAGTATTTCCATCTACTAGCCTCCGTTTGCGCGTGTCGATAATTAAATTGTGGTGCTGTAGAAGGTCCATACTAATGATTGGCATAAAAACATCTGCAACAACAAAGATCCAGTGAATGGGTTTGCGTAAACCCACGTTAAGATAAACATACCTTTTGCCATACGTAGCGATAGGCTTTCTATTTGCCGCCTGTAGATTTAAAACCGATTCGTGAAGTCGGTCGTTGGAATTCGCTGGGAGAACGCTAACTTCTGCGCCAGTATCGACGAGGTGATGAACTCTCGTTATCACATCAGTGACATATAAAAGACGGCTATGTTCTCCGGCTATGGTTGCCGTTAACGCGTGCCGGTTCTAAAGTTTCCCGAAACATTTTTCTTGTTGACCGATTCTGCGTTGGGATAATTTCAGGGTTTTCTGCAATTTCTGGCAGACTTTCAATACTGGTTATGATACCAGCACCAGTCAGGATTATTCGTCTCTCGAGTTCTAGATACAGATCGCCTACGTGATGTGCATCTTCTCAGGGTGTGTGACCGTTTACGGTCGTTACGAAGTTTGAGACAACGCGTAAGTGTATGGCATAACTCTGTTATGTCATTCTGGGTGGTTTGAGGCTTTTCTTTGACTGAAAAAACCTCGGCGTTAGAAGAACTAGTGATTTCGAGAATGCGGTCGGTAGATGCAGCCAACTCGTCCACGGCGTTGTTTCGAAAGGAAACCAGCACAGCTTGCACCTGTTGAGGAAGTTTTGATAAGAAAAGCTGTTTGAATAGGCCATTATCGAGGGTTCTTTGGCCAATAACTTCTCTTATTCTCCGCAACGTGTCTGTGGCAAAACCGTGTTGCAGGTCGATGTTGTTAAGGCGTTGGTCTAACCTTTGTCGATCGGTTGGATCACCGCGTTTAAGGATTGATCGTTTAAGGGTTTTGTATGGGTCAGAAACATCACTAGTAAACATACTAGGTGTTACGTACCTGTTGAATTCACGTGGTGGTGCCTTGACTACTGCGAGGAATTGCACGCGTGTGTCGTTTACACCGTGATCGTAGAAGTCGGCTTCTGCGTAGCAAAACCAGGCTTCGATGTTGTCACAAAAAGGAACAGACTCACAGTTTGCAATTTAGTGTACCAGATCACGTCGGGCTCACCAATGAAGATGCCACAGGTATTCGGAGTTTTCGAACGCTTTAACCATCAACACTTTCTAATATGAAGCTCACCCACCAAGTGAAATCAAAAGACAGAAGCGTGGAGATCAAAGATATATTTGATAAGCTATCAATATATCGAGGATCGTTTGCACTAACCTGGCTAGCGATTGCGGCAGATGTTGAGCACGGCGCTCGCACGCGTGATCTGGTGCGGATGCTTGATCGAGCGCCTTCAGCTAGATGAGACCACTAAAACTGTGGTCAGCATCCAATGTCGAAAACTTACAGAGCTATTTATTTTGGGGATTTGTTTACCGTTACACTGTAAAAAGTGGAGTTCCCCAAGGTACAACCCTCGATCCTCTTCTGTTTTTACTTGATGTAAATGAATTGACAACTTTAGCAAATCATCTGTTTTACTCTTCGCTGATGACATAAAAATTTGTAGACTCATACACAGTATGTCGGATAGAATAGTATTGCAGGATGATCTTAGCTCATTGGTGGCATGGATGGACAGGTGGTCACTAGAAGTAGATTCTAACAAGAGTGTGGTGATGCGAATAAATAATTATCATGATTCGTATCACTATACAATATGTGGATTCGTGCTACCAAAAGTAAGAACCCATAAAGATTTAAGAGTCATATTAAGCAGTGATCTCAAAACCACCAGTCACTGTAAGGCTGCTGCTGCGAAAGGCTATAAGGTGTTTTGATCTATTTGTAGGTCTTTCCAGTATTTAGATGACGAAATGTTTAGAATGTTTAGATTTGGTATTCAAGCAGCGAGTCATTGTTTCAAGTATGAAGCCGATATGTTTGAAAGACTCCGACGACGAGAGATCAAGATGGTAAAAGGTCTATCTTGCCTATCTTATGAAGAGAGCCCGGGATACCTTAACTTATTTTCATTATCATACCGTAGAATACGGGGTGATCTAATATTGGATTATCCTAAACTGAAAGATGACCTTTGTATTAACATGTCTTATCTTTAACTTCCGTCTAGGACTGATCATTCGAGAGGAAGTTCGAAGAAAGTTCAAAAACCGATATCTATTTTTTTACGTCTGAAGTTTCGTTTTTCGCACCGAGGGGAGAAGGACTGAAATTCTCTACCGGAACACGTAATATCAGCACCTTCTGTTGATATATCCAAAACGAGATTGTACATCCACAGTGTTACAAGCTGCAAGGATTGATATAAGTCCATTGACCTCCTGTCCTTATTACTGAAGACATACAAATCCAAAAACAGCTACCAAACTGACTAGAATTAGTGCTACAAAGCGTTAGTACTACCATGAACTGAACATAAAGAAACGTGCTGAGACAATAAGAAAATAGCTTAAATAAATAAATCGTTGATGTAGGCTAATCATAAGGAAATTACTTTTGGCTACACATTTTCAAGAAATGCGCTACAGTGCGGTCAACTAGATCAAGTAAGATAGTTCATTGTAGATTGTTGTCGACTGCTTTGCTTACCTAAAGTTAATGCACTTCGTGCGCATCCCAAGCCGGCAGCCTAGCTTTCGTCTGGCTGCCTTTCCCAGCATTCCTCACTCATACCTCCGTAGAACCCAAAGACCCGAATCTCCAGATTTCGGAGCTCTTATAGAAAAATTTCAGAAGTGCGACCAAATCCCCAAATTTTCTTCTGTTATGGAGTTTTTCCCACGACATTACAAGTTATTTAAGAGATACACTTATGAATTGAGTGGACCCAATTTTCCTCAGACGTTCAAGATCTTAAAACCCAAATTTTCATGGGAGGCCAATCAACTAAAAATGGGGAAATAAAGGCAAACAGTTAGAAAATAAAGGAAAGTTTCGTTAGGAAATAATAAGAAACGCACATAAATATCTGCTTTTTCACCTGTCACTGAGAAATTAAGCTGAATCTCCCCTTTTATTCGTTTTTTGTTTCGAATTCGCAAACATCTCACACGAAGGGTAAAACTATTTTATGAACGAACTTTGAACGTATGTTAAGTGACCTTGAGAACATTAGACAATCAGAAGAGAGTTAGTATTAAGTAAAAATATATAAAAAACTGATGAATTACAATCAATATTCTTCTTTTACATGATTTAAGAACTTGTTAAGGTTTGATAAGGATTCAGAAGTTTTGAAATCATAATTCATGCGGTATAGGAACTCGTCCATATGGCTCCATAATAATTGTCTTCTGGAGCCGTGGTAGGGTCTTAAGAAATACTTCACCCTCGACCACATACCTTCAATATTGTTTGTATGAACCCCCGTCGTTGGATCGACAAAATGACGTTTGTGCACTACAACATGATGCACAAAACCAAGTCTCGAGAGGCATCTATACGCTTCCCAATCATCGGTATAGATCGTGGTGCCAGGCTGACCGTACTCCTTGATGATTGGTATTATTGTTGTTACCTTGCGGTTTCTGACTCTTTCAAAATGTCCCTTTTGGGTTCAAAGATCGTAAAATCCAAGTACCTATCATATATATTCACGGAAGTGCTACTTATCCAATCTTCGTTGATAAAACGTCCTTTGTTGTATTTTCGCTTTCGAACTGCTGTCTCATCTATTTACACTTTCTTCCAAACTCCTCCAAATGATTCATGAACTCGTGTCATTTTCAATGCGCATATACCACGGCAATATTCACACCACCCCAACCTCCCAACTTTGGGGAACATTTTGGGAAGCCGCTATAGTAAATTTTGGGGAAATGGCTCAAAAACCCCTAAATTTCCACAAACGTTGGGGTATTTCCATAGAACCGTTTTAACGCAAAACTTATACCGAAATCTGCGGACATCACGGAAAATCTAGCGAGAATACATACGTACATTTCTTACTGGGATGTTACATTATTTTTGGTCAATTACGTGTTGCCAAAAAAACTTAACGTTAATCGATTTACCGCCTTCATTAAAAGACTGATTTTTGACATATTTAAATGTTTATTATAGTTAATAAAACTACACATTTTTCATTTATACGACGTTTTTCATTGCTCTGTTAGTGTAACAGGTTACGCATAAGTTGAACTGTCATTTGGTAGGTCCTAAAAAAAAATGGAAAAAGACTTTTTAGTTTACAATCACATGTGAAGATATGTGAAACGTCGATGACGTACAAACAGTATGACAACGTTGTCAATAATGCGAACAAATAACTTACAGTTACGTCAGATAAAGCCTGTGAAGCCAGCTGAAAACAAAAGGAATATGACAAAAGTTTTATCACTGTAAACATTGATCACAAAGTAATAATAAAAGTGCCTTATGTATTATTTCTTAGGCTAACCTTTTCTTTGGATCGCCATCCACGTTTATTAACTTTATCCCTTGCGTCATGCAAGAAAGCCTGGCTTGCTGTACCCATGGCGTGTATTAAATCCTTTTCCAGACAAGTCGTACTTCGGAAATGGGAACAGAGAACACCTTTCAATATGTTAATGCAATAGTGTGTACTTTGAACGGTTGAGTAAAATTTGTACTTACTAATACCACATTTACTTTGTGTTCTGTGCAAAGTGTAATTGTTCGCCAGTTCCGGCGAAAGCACGTAACTCAGACAAGCTTTCGCTGATTTCCGAGGATCGTCACACAGGAACCCGTATAATCTTCCCACCTAAAATTTGTTCAAACACCTGTAACAACTTACCAAGTAATCCCGGAACTGTACGTTATCTAAAGCAGCTTCTAAAGAACGCAAGTCCTCATGCGTTCTTAATGGGAATGCGATAGCTTCAGTGTCTACGGGCTCCGCACGCCTGTCAGTTTCACCCATGGATAAGCGTTCGTTGTAAGTTATCAATTTATCTATCTTCCCAGAGAGTTTACCTACCGCCTTCAGCAGCATTCTCAACATTTTCTTACTATCGTCGCCCAACCTTTTGTTATCAGGAAAACAGTAAATGCAACTTACGATTTATCAACTGCCGTCGATGTACATGGAATTGGCGGTCATGAAACATCTGTTTTTGATGAACTACTTTATGAGTATAGATTAAATAGGTACATACTTGGCTATAGGCGAAAATCTTCCGGTCAAAATGTTGACAACTGGAAATTCGACCGGGGCAATTCCAGCTTCAGCCTCAGCAACCTCTAGTTCTTCAGAGGTGCGTAGATAGTCACAAAGTTTACGTTTCGCAGCCCTAACACTAAAGTGATTTAGTAAGCTGAACAAATTACCTCTTTGGCTTTTCTGCTTCACACGGCAGAGTTTCATCATCTGTTGTACCTTTGTTGTTGTAACCGAGTACTGAGGTTAAGCACATCTTCATTCCCTGGGCTACATGGTAGTCCTCTAAAAACAATGAATTAAAAGTAATTACAACTTACCACAACTATGCAGTACGGTGCATTTTCTCAACGTGAATTGACTATCAAAATCCACACCATCAATAATGTCCTTCCCCGTAACATCATCCCGATAAACGTAATGCTCGTTGTTCAGGAGCCATTTCTTAGGAATGCAAATAACTTGTTTCTTCTCCTTATCATAAATCAATATGTACTTTCCTGATTGATGCTGTAAATCAAAGCCGAGGCGTTAAAAATTTATTACTTTCATGAACATTCATTAACACATCCTGATGGAGGAGGCCGAAGCACTAACCAACAGACACCTACTACCTGTAGTACTATATTTGCGACAGTCATTGAGAAATGATGTCACATTTTGAATTAGAATGTATGCAAAAGGGGGATAGTGACCTCATAATTTTGTGTTCGCATACAAATACACTTACAAAGTATGTCTGTTATAGTAATCCAGTTACACGTGGCTTAACGTAGAACACTTAAACATACCGATACTACCGGAGGGAAAAGGGTCAGTAAATAAATCTACGGGGTCATGGAATGCTCGAAACCTTAGTCGGCCTCCATCAGCTATTTGTGTGACGAACCCTGGTCGACCATTGAAGATCACAACATTGTCCGGCCTGGTGGTAGAAAGCTTTGAGTTTCTGTAAGTGATGACTTCCTTGGAAGAATCATAAGTTAGCTCAGGCTCATTGAGATTGTCAGCTGTATCGTTATTAACTACGCTTTGAAAGTAAACTTCTTCGGCATATCGCTGTGCGGCTTGTTTAGCCGCAGCGAATCCGCAGTGTACTGAACGCCTAGATTTATTTACTGTCCCTTTTCCCTCCGGTAGTATCGGTATGTTTAAGTGTTCTACGTTAAGCCACGTGTAACTGGATTACTATAACAGACATACTTTGTAAGTGTATTTGTATGCGAACACAAAATTATGAGGTCACTATCCCCCTTTTGCATACATTCTAATTCAAAATGTGACATCATTTCTCAATGACTGTCGCAAATATAGTACTACAGGTAGTAGGTGTCTGTTGGTTAGTGCTTCGGCCTCCTCCATCAGGATGTGTTAATGAATGTTCATGAAAGTAATAAATTTTTAACGCCTCGGCTTTGATTTACAGCATCAATCAGGAAAGTACATATTGATTTATGATAAGGAGAAGAAACAAGTTATTTGCATTCCTAAGAAATGGCTCCTGAACAACGAGCATTACGTTTATCGGGATGATGTTACGGGGAAGGACATTATTGATGGTGTGGATTTTGATAGTCAATTCACGTTGAGAAAATGCACCGTACTGCATAGTTGTGGTAAGTTGTAATTACTTTTAATTCATTGTTTTTAGAGGACTACCATGTAGCCCAGGGAATGAAGATGTGCTTAACCTCAGTACTCGGTTACAACAACAAAGGTACAACAGATGATGAAACTCTGCCGTGTGAAGCAGAAAAGCCAAAGAGGTAATTTGTTCAGCTTACTAAATCACTTTAGTGTTAGGGCTGCGAAACGTAAACTTTGTGACTATCTACGCACCTCTGAAGAACTAGAGGTTGCTGAGGCTGAAGCTGGAATTGCCCCGGTCGAATTTCCAGTTGTCAACATTTTGACCGGAAGATTTTCGCCTATAGCCAAGTATGTACCTATTTAATCTATACTCATAAAGTAGTTCATCAAAAACAGATGTTTCATGACCGCCAATTCCATGTACATCGACGGCAGTTGATAAATCGTAAGTTGCATTTACTGTTTTCCTGATAACAAAAGGTTGGGCGACGATAGTAAGAAAATGTTGAGAATGCTGCTGAAGGCGGTAGGTAAACTCTCTGGGAAGATAGATAAATTGATAACTTACAACGAACGCTTATCCATGGGTGAAACTGACAGGCGTGCGGAGCCCGTAGACACTGAAGCTATCGCATTCCCATTAAGAACGCATGAGGACTTGCGTTCTTTAGAAGCTGCTTTAGATAACGTACAGTTCCGGGATTACTTGGTAAGTTGTTACAGGTGTTTGAACAAATTTTAGGTGGGAAGATTATACGGGTTCCTGTGTGACGATCCTCGGAAATCAGCGAAAGCTTGTCTGAGTTACGTGCTTTCGCCGGAACTGGCGAACAATTACACTTTGCACAGAACACAAAGTAAATGTGGTATTAGTAAGTACAAATTTTACTCAACCGTTCAAAGTACACACTATTGCATTAACATATTGAAAGGTGTTCTCTGTTCCCATTTCCGAAGTACGACTTGTCTGGAAAAGGATTTAATACACGCCATGGGTACAGCAAGCCAGGCTTTCTTGCATGACGCAAGGGATAAAGTTAAACGTGGATGGCGATCCAAAGAAAAGGTTAGCCTAAGCAATAATACATAAGGCACTTTTATTATTACTTTGTGATCAATGTTTACAGTGATAAAACTTTTGTCATATTCCTTTTGTTTTCAGCTGGCTTCACAGGCTTTATCTGACGTAACTGTAAGTTATTTGTTCGCATTATTGACAACGTTGTCATACTGTTTGTACGTCATCGACGTTTCACATATCTTCACATGTGATTGTAAACTAAAAAGTCTTTTTCCATTTTTTTTAGGACCTACCAAATGACAGTTCAACTTATGCGTAACCTGTTACACTAACAGAGCAATGAAAAACGTCGTATAAATGAAAAATGTGTAGTTTTATTAACTATAATAAACATTTAAATATGTCAAAAATCAGTCTTTTAATGAAGGCGGTAAATCGATTAACGTTAAGTTTTTTTGGCAACACGTAATTGACCAAAAATAATGTAACATCCCAGTAAGAAATGTACGTATGTATTCTCGCTAGATTTTCCGTGATGTCCGCAGATTTCGGTATAAGTTTTGCGTTAAAACGGTTCTATGGAATTACCCCAAAGTGTGGGGAAAATACACTAAAGTTAGGGGAAAATCCCCAACGTTTGTGGAAATTTTGGGGTTTTTGTGCCATTTCCCCGAAATAAGTAAAATTTTCCCCGAACTTATGAGCTTGGGGTATAGTACAACGAAATATAATGTCATCAAGTTGTATGCATATCGTGCTGCAGTCATTTGATTTCCGCAGTCACTGACACAGGCGCCTCTTAATATTCCCATCTGTTTTAGTCGCCTTACAATCGAATTTTCTCAAACGTTTGGGGAAACCCTAAATTCGGTGAAATACCCCCCCTAAAATTGGGAGACTGGGTGTAGTTCATTTCGCGAACTTAACACAATTCTAAAACCATTACGCCATTTTTCTCCACATCAACATGTTTTTTCTCTCACTCACACCTAGCTTGCATTAACGTTCTACGTAGAATTAAGTAAATTACTCTTGGAAGACAATATGTGAACAAGCAATCGGTTTATTCACCTCATCGAAGTAGTCCTATATTGTCAATACGTAATAACAATCGCCATATAGAAGCATTGTTGTGGTTAATAGACTGTTATAAATGAGATTATATATTAAAATATGAAACAATACACGCAATTCTTACGAATTATTCACGTCATGTTCTTTTTTCATCGAGATTAAGTTGTTAGTGTGTTTATTATGTCGATGTCGAACTTTCGTTAAGTGTTCCACAGACAAAATAAAACGTTAGTCTTCCATGTACCAGGGCATTTGGGGGCATGTAGTAAACGTAATATTGAAAAATTTCCCATGCTAATAGTAGACAACTTTTACAAAAAGTTGTAAAAACATTCAGTTATTCAATAATATATTTAATCTCTAATAAGTTCACCTTTCCTTGAGATTCTCATCAACGCTTAATTACATTAAAGAGCAAAAAATGTATTTGTAAAATTTCAGCGAATGAATTTGAATTCGCTGAGATTTTACAAATACATTCTTCCCTCTTTAATGTCTCACATTAACTCAGCGCCAAATATTGTGAAACTATTCGTTCAAATTTAGACGAAAGTTCTTATTTAACGCTTATTTACTTTATCTCTTGCGTCGTGTGAGAAAACCCGATTCTCAACATCTATCGTTTGTGTTATTTTTTTCGGGATAGTTCACACTTTGAACCGCGAACACAAAATCCCTAACAAAGGATACCGACTGTAATCTTGGCTTGCTGCGAACTTTTCTGTAGAGTTGGTAGTTACTTATACCCATTTCGCTTCTAGCTCTATGTGAGGTATAATTAATAGCCAATCCGAGCGTTGACACGTAAGACAAACAAGCTTTTGTGAACTTCCGAAGATCATCACGAATGATCTCCGACAATTTCTTCACGTTAAAATTTATAAATTAGTCACAACTTACGGACTAACCGCGGGCTTTTGGTCTTTCAATGCAGCTTCTATAGTACGCAGCTCCTCTGGTGTTTTTAAAGGGGATGCCAAAGTAAGACTGCTGCAACTATACCTGTTCTTCACAACGTTGTATAAGCTACTCATGTAAAAAGTAAGTTAATAGATCTTGCCAGACGGATTAGTAATCGCTTCAAGAATAATTTGCAATGTTACGTTGTCACTGTGCTATTTATTGGTATAAAATTTAGTATAAGTTTAAGGTACTCGCTAGAAACAGCCACAGATGGAAGAGGCGGTGAGAACACCTCTGTTTTAGAAGAACTGCTTTATGAGCATGTACTCAATGGATACTTAGCTATTAGTGAAAAGTTATCAGTCAAAATGCTGAATACCGAAAACTCAGCAGCCTTCAGTTCTTCAGGGGTTCACAAATAGTCATTCATTTTTCGTTTAACAGCCCTAATAAGGAATTTATTACATACGTTTATCAATTCACATCTTCGGTTTATCAGTTTGACACAGTGTGTCATCTTTCTATTAGTAGTGTAGCAACCGAGTACTTCAATGAATGATACCTTCGGTCCCTCGGCTATCCGATAGTCATCTGAGAGAAATTAGTTTTAATTAATAAAAACTTATCACAATGACTCGATACGGTGCATTGTCTTAAGGAAAAGTGACCATCTGGATCTGTACGATTCAGAATATCTGTCGATGTAATATCATCCCTGTAGATATACCATTGCTTGTTTAGTAGTCAGTTGCTAGGGCTGTATAAAACTTGCTTTCATTTCTTGTCGTACTGTTTTGATTCATGATATAGATCAATGCAATAGTGTTAGAAATTTCTAGAATCTTACGCATAATAACTTCATAACATTCACAATAAATTTCGAGGTTATGATGCCAAAGCACTATTGTGTAGACGTACTGCACTAAAATATTCTATATGGTACAGGCCTTAAGGAATGAAGTCATCCTACCTAAGAAAAGGTATGTAAAATGGAAATGATTACCTTGTAGTATTGTTCCGGGATTGAGATACACTTACAAAGTATGTTTGTCATAGTAATCCATGTAAACTCGTGGCCAACTACAGAGCATTTAAATATACCTATATATTGCTGGGAGAAAACGGGTCGGTGAAGAAATCTGGAGCGTTGGTGTATCAATCAGTCAGTCAGCTGCAACTTAAGACCAGGCACATATATGCATCATTCTAAGTAAAGATTGTGTATAATGATATGGTACAGCAAGAAAGAATTAATACGTAGAAAGAAAGATATAAAGCAATTTTAATCTCACGGTTTAAGGGAGAACAAAGAGTGTATACACCTACACCACTGTGATAGATTCTGAGTCGTGTCACCAAGAGTCTCCAACCATTGGTTACGATGGTCGTGCGGGTTCCAACCAAGTAGTCTGCATCTACCAACATGGCTAAGACTAAAAGTTAGTGACTTCAAGCACTGATGTCACGTTTTGGTTTGGCCGCCCCTAATTTTCTCCCAACCATCCCCAACACTAGTCAACATTGCGCTTCGTGGTAATCGGTGCTCAGGCATACGTAACACGTAGCCCAACAATCTTAGTGGATGAAGATTTACGAGATCATCGACTGATTTACCATCATCCCCTAATACCATACATCTAACCTCACTATTACTTACCCGGTGACCCCAGCAAATGCGAGTAATATTTCTGAAACATCTGTGGTCAAGTACTAGTAATCTACGAGTATCGTCCACTCTTAATGGCCGAAACCTAATCCTGCCACCTTCTACAATTTGGGTAATGAACCTAGTTTTTCAATTTGCTATAACTATATTCTTAGGTCTGGTACTAAAAAAGCTTCGAGTCTCTATGGCGAGAATAGATGGATGCATTCGCTTTAGTCGCATGCTGGCTAGATTATTTCATAAAGAGGTTTTCAGCCACCCCTAAGCATATAAAGTGCGTAGGTTCTGACAGAAACAATCAACATATATCTATAGACAAGTTATCAAAGGCATTTAAAATTTCGTGAGAAATGTTGGCGAAAACCCAACTTTTTTTTAAAAGTGTTGAGGATTTCCCCCAAATAACTTGAAATCTCAGAAAAACTCTAAATCAGGGGAAATTTTAGTGTTTTTAGACGCATTTCTGCAAAACTTCTTTAAGAGCCCCCTAAAATCAGGAGATTAGATCATATTAGGCCTCGCATAATTAAAATACCTACTTGATATTTGATGGAATTTTCAATCGCTGTTGATGAAACATGTTCTGTATCTTCAAAACTTAAAATTTTTAGGCACCTCCGACGTCTTCTGGAAGATGTCAGCTAACGATATCTTATAAAATGTGGTACCATTCAAGCTGATATCATTCTAAAATAAAAAATAGTCGAGATGACTACCTAATCTGTCGGCTGTTACTACTAAACCTCAAATATATTCAGTATTTAAATTCTTTCCACGGTTCTAACTCAACTGTACGGGCTAGTAGGTTTCTAATTTAAATCATGCTGGAACAGTGGGCAACTGGTTATAGTATTTACATTTTAATCATTGGGTCGCACTGAGATCCTGCTCCTTCTTGTACTTAAGAAGTCGATTAATAGTATCAGATATCACACATAAATCGTTACTTCAAACTGCGTACAAAAACCTGTTCTTTACAGATGATCATAAGAAGATTCCAAATCACAAACAATTTTTGCATTCATTATCAATAAAAAAATTTTCCAGTCGTCCTGTAAATCATCAGTGAAGGTTATATTTTTACTGAATAATTGATCAACTCGGATTTATTGTGATCATCAATGACAACTGGAAGACTATTTGATAATATAAGCATCAAGCCTGGGCTTATCGCATTCGACTTGGGTTAGTCTCTTTTGCTACATAGGTGATAAAAAATCGTCAGATTGTACATTATGGCCGTTTGACTGTGACATTTACGATAGTCAAGTTTTTCACAAAAAGTAAGTTTGTGTTCATCTATTATTGTTAATAGTGGTGATATGATTTATGATGAAAATAATTACCCACTAAATATACTTCAAGATTCAAATAATATATTGAAATCTATCAAACAAGAGAAGGATGTACTATTGGCATGTGCTTCGAGGTAAGTTTCTTGGTTCTCAAATGTTAATTAGTTTTATTTCAACATTATAATAAGAGTAGTATATGAATTAGTATAAATGGGCTTGTGGAGATTAGTGAGTTTCGTAGTGTACATCACAAATTGACTTTAGACAACCACTAAAAACTAGGAAGCAATATACAGATCTTTTGTTCTAGCACGGGATTTCTCAACAATAACCATCCGTGACCTCATCAGAAATCTTCATGTTCACATTTGGACCCTTAAGTTAGGATCTAATGCCTTACATTTCTAGCTTCGATATTTCGTAACTATCTTCCAGTGCTGTTGGTGGGTAACCATCTAAATCATTGAACCACAGCTTCAAAATAATTGTGAGCCAAATGTTTGTCTAAATGTATCGATGGGAATAGTTAGAAAACTGTACTGTCTATGCTTGGTTATTACTTAGTTTGGATAGAGTCAAAATGAAGAACTTTCAGAATACTGTTGATGAAATATTGTGTGGTCTTTTATAATCAGCTTTATAAAAAAATTCACTTCTTGGATTTAGAAGCCTAGTTAGTACAACTTATTAATTAAGAACAGATCAATTCGTTTCGGTTCAAGCCATAGACTTCATGTATAGACTACTAATAAAACCGAAGCTGATGGAACTGAATTTCATCCTACAACTTGATAATTGTTAGTCAAATGTTTTAATTCATTTATGTATCACTTAGAAAACCATCATAATTTGAAGTGTTGTTTGTAAATATTACTCTAAAAAAATCGATGACAATAATATAAATGTACTAATCATTCGATCTTTTAAAAGTACTATTACTGTATATCTGCTTATTCCCATTTTATCAGGTTTTCCTACTTTCTACCTATTAGTTTTTGGCTTTCATTTCTGTTTTAAGCTACCGAATTAGGCAATGAAGGTAAACTTATCGATCTACACTGAACATTAACCAATATCTATGTAGGGAAACTCTAAGTTACTCAAAAGAACCCATAGTATACAGAATTAAGTAGTTATTGACCCCTATAATTTAGTTCAGCAACCAAGTTTAATTTCATATACATAGGATTGAACCACAATTTTGATATGAAGGCTAGTGATACTGTCCTGTTGTCGAAACCGGAGATGGAGCCGTTGCCGTGATCTCAGCAACAATCTCCAAATAACTAGTCCAGGATCCTGTTAACTCTGTTTTTAAGCTTTTGGTATTAGGGAGAAGTCATGAAGTAGTTCTGTATGTATGTTTTGTGTTTAGAAGTTTATCATTTACGCAATACTCATAACCAGTGTTTGGAGATATCAAGCGATATGGCATAAAAGCGACCTCAGTGATATAGTTGGATTTATTGTCTATCTTCCTTTAAGTTTGGAGTTAGGTCTCATCCTTAACTTTATATTCTTCGATTTCTAAACTTTCTGAACTGTTTTGTTTGCAGATATCAGGTGACATGGCTCATCATCATCATCATGGCTCAAATCGATCTCAGTGACTCAGACTCATTTACTCCTCGTCTTCCCTAAGATCTTGAGTTTTGAAATCATCTTTTACTCTCTATTTCCGGGAACTTGTTCTCTCTTCTGGAATCATATTATCTGTGATCGACCATTTTATTTAGGATTTGTCCTAATGATTTCATCTCGTAGTCATATGTCATGATAGCTTGAACTAATGCATAATTGTCTCTCGTTTTACACTGCTTATAGTTGACTGACACTAAAATACATTTCTCATGTTTATGTCTCCATTTAAGTTAAATCTGAGTTACGATGTATGTTGTTTTGATATATGGGAAATGTATCGATGCACAATCGCAATAGATTTTACTTTGATACACACTAATTGACTGATTTAAAAAATTTTTCACCTTCATAGATATATCCACCTAATTGTCCGATAGTTCTGCTTAGAATTTACTACTTGATTTTGCCGAAGTCTTCTACAGTATATGACAGATGAATATCTCCGTCATCATTGGTTTTCTCAACCTAACTGGCTTAACTCTAGAGACGCTCTATCCCCTAGCAATTTAAGTTATGGTCTCACCATGTTCACTCTTATTTTTTTCATTATTTCGAACTGTACAAGACATTCGTCTAGTGTAATCTTATTTTGTTCTGATCTCCACTAGTTATTCTATTACTTTTTCTAAATATTAATATAGGACCCCTTCGGTGGAAACAGCTCGTCAGTTAGTTCACCTAAATGGTTGGGATAAATTATTCGACCATATGGAAATATATCCAGACAGTAAAATTGTTCACTTTCAGACGTAAGTTTGGATCTATCTTATTATATATATATATATATATATATATATATATATATATATATATATATATATATATATATATATATATATATATATATATATATATATAAATTTTTCAATGTAACTGAAATTGAATTTACAGGTTGTTAACATACACTGATGAGGATTCCTATACTAGGACAGAATAGCTATCCAGTGCTTCCTGGTTCAATAGAGAATGCTGGCGAGCGGCCTATGCTTCTTCATGAGGGGTAACAGGCGTAAGTAAGTAGGCTTCATGGTTTTCAAGGATAGTCTAACCAAAGTTATTCCGTTGTTTAACTCCAATTTCAACAGTCTCCACAAAATCCTATAGTAACAATCACCGTGTGATTACTAGTGACTAATTTCGAGAAGTAATTCCCGGAGTTCCAGTAAAAAAGTCATGATCAACGATATTGAGCCTAAGACAAATATCGCCAGTGGAAGTGGATGATGGTTGCGCAATATTGCGAATTGACTTAGGCTCAAGCAACTAATTTGATCTAGAAATGAGCTATTGTGAATAAAAATTAAAGAGAAAAATACTAGAGAATCGATCTAATTCAAATGCATCTACACCTTGAAGTTAAAAGCTATTTGGTAATCCTCTTTTTTTTCATATCCAATATTGAATTAAAGTGGAGTAGAATGAATTTCAGTTAAGCGTACATTTTTTTATGGTTATCTAAATATTTGTTGTTTTTTGTTACAACAAAATCAAAGTCACTTGACAAAACACAGTGTGATAGTAGTAAGTAGTATTAGTAGCGAAAACCGTTTTGATGCTGTATAATACAGCAGTGATAAAATCTAACTTTATATATTATCTAACATGTATTTATTAAAGGTTATTTTTTTCCGGTAAAGAACAAATCACATTTATTAGTAGTGATATTCATGTGGGCTTTTTCTCTATAAAAGATACTTTTTGTCTTTCAACGGAACAGCTATTACCTTTTCATCACTGTAAGGATATATACATGTCATTATGATTATTATCATTTATTAAATTACTCATGAGTACCGATTATAGTAATAGGCTTGTAAATTCCTTTGTATCTACTCTACATTCATCCTATGTATTTGCTAAGGAGATCACGGGATTACTCAGTCTTTGTTGTTGTTGTCACTACTTTTAGCAAACTAATTTTCTGCGCTTTAGAGTCGTGCTTTTATTACTATTTATACTGAGTTGTACTATTTCAAGTTGTTTTGCTCAAATATCAAGTTTTTCTGAGACTTTTCCTTCTTGTGCTCATGGCTAAATGTTAACGTGTTGTGTGCCGGTTGTTGTTACCGATTTCGCAATAGGACCATTCGTATTAGGGATAGTTCAATCTTTCCTTAATTCGCAATTATCGTGACCCAACTGGAAACTTCAATGAACACAGTCGTCTGAGCCCACACATGTAGTATGGTTACTGTTTTATTCTTTTTAGATTTTACGATGGTGACTTTTTAAATTAGGTTATTGTAACTTCTTTCTCCTAATGTTGTACATCAAGAGTATATATTGGGACATGTCGGTTATGTTCGTCATATATTGATCTCATTAAAAATCGGGGAGGACTAAACATCCGTTCCGTCTTGGTATGGGATTCCTCAGTGATGGACACCAACGAACTCACCAGGGATTGGAAGCGGGACTTCCACATCCCTCATCAAACTCCTAACCATTGAAATCACTAACAAGCTTATTATCCCAAGTACTGACTCTATGTCGAATGGTAAACAATAAGGCTAATAAAGTATCGTAGTGTCTGGTACCATGTCAAGTTCACATGGGTTGTTCTGGCTTCTCGACCTTGTTAATTATTCGCTTATTGACTTTGACTGTTTTTATCTAGGCTTGTGTGTGCATTACTTATCATACTCATCACATGTCTGTGGCTTATTTTTGTCTGGCTATATATATTAAGTCGCGCTTGATCAAATCGGGTTGGCTCACTCTCCTTCGATAATTGTGAACGAGGGTAGCCGGGATTTATATTTGGATAACATAATCATACGATCTGACTGGAATCAAAAGTATATATCTCCTTACTAACTTCGTATGTAACCGCAACAGGAAATAAATAACCGAATGCGAAATGTATGGAGAATACGTGTATTTCGAGCATCTACATAGTAGAAAAGAAACGAGGCACATGGTAAGTGAATTTGGAAACTAGGTTTCATAAAAGATCATTCAATTAAGAATGACTTAGCTTTAATAGTCAAATGATAATTTATAAGATACACAGACAAATGTTTACTAACATCAGGACACAAATCTTGTAAAGTTAAGCCCACGAAAATAAATACAATAGGCCTAAAATGTTAATAAGAAACTATACTTGTGTACAAGATCAAAAAATACTTGATCAGATTAGAATGATATATTTATTTGTCAAGCAAAAGATAGATTACATAGGGATATGATAAAAATTGCTATCGGCGTCGAATGACACAACTCTAATCGAACCTAAGTTGTAAGGTAGAGAAAGGATAATCCAATGTCAGTTACAATTGTTTCAATCTTACGATATCTGAACTCGCCAGTCAAAATTTATCACTAAACTTTAGTAGTAACATCTTGATGCAAGTCACTGATTCCCTGACTATTGTAGTTTAGTTGAAAGGTTTTTTCAAAGACTTGTTTAATTGGTAGATTGTATTCGTCACAGATTGATCTGAAAATAGATAATTTAATTGAAGCCATTAAACACCTGTACTCGATTTGACTACACTTGTTTGTTCAAATCAGTCAGCTGTACTGTTTTGTTCTTTTATTTGGTTGGTAGATTTTGTTTATAGCTCATACAATTACATTATTATTTCGGGTTACCAAATTGTTCACGGATGCGATATAGTTGGTGAGTTCGAAAATATCCCTCGTCGAAGTCTCTAGAGGCTCAGAAAACGCCGGGAAACGTTTATCCAATTAACGTTGAATAAGAGTATCGCAGATACACCTAGAAAATGTCAAACCACACGCTACAGTTTTGATTGGATATTTACCTATACTGTTACTTTATTCAATATGGTTCTGAAAATTTCTAGAAGCTCAAGGTCACCTGTATCTCTATAAATACTTCCGTTTTTCTGTACATAAACGAACTTTGAAGTAAAGCTTTTACTTGCAGTTTGAGCTTTCTTTTTACTGTCCCAGTTGAAGTGTGGAAGCAGTTGAGTTTATTGGAACCGGTTAGTGAGACAGTATTATGCGTTTCGGTAGAAAAAATATCAGGTATCAGCTGTATTTACATTAAAATTTGTTAATTCTAAGAAAAAGTTTGACTGTGTGAGTATAAACATGTCACTTCCCATGTCCTTACATACTATCTCAGGGTAAAACTCTAGATGAAAAATTACAAACGAGGTACCCTACTGGAGGAAGCTCATTATGCATTCACTCAAGGTCTCAGCGTAAATTTCTTCGTTCTTATCAGGAGGACAACCATATGTGTCACCTTTGATTTTCATACATTGAAATTATGTTCAACAACTATAGTTCCCTAATTATTTTAGCCTTTCCATCTACATAGTTCTTTTAACATACCGTAGTAAGTACATCGTAACTAAAACAGACCACAGAACACAACATTGTTTTTGTTGACCTAATTAATCAAAACGTATTTAAATAATTACTTCAATCACCCTTTCATCTTTCACTGTTCTTATATAAAATGCATTGATATGATATAAATTGATAAATATGTTTGCTATGTTTTATACTTTATGTAAGTATGACAAGTTCACTGATTTTGTTATTGGTGTATCTAGTCAGAGTGACATGTGATTGATCATTGGTTGAAAATAGACGTGTCCAGCTACACTAAATATAAATGACTATCTTTAATCGGAACATTCACTCCACTTTGATTTTATGTATTGAATGCTTTTTACTTGTGTTAATAAACTTTTTTGGTTTAATTTGATTCTCCATCGAACGGTCGGATAATTAAATGAGTGTATGTAACACATAACCTAGTGTATAATGTTAGTAGTGTAAGTAACGTGAATAATTCAATTCCTTCTCTTATAGAGAAGGATTGTTTAGAATTCTAATGATGATGAGCAACGTATTTTGCCTATTAAATTGATTATTGAGAAATATTAATCAATAGATGGTTCATAAAAAAATGATTTTGTGTTAACTCATAACTACTCACGAGACTAAATTATCGACGCAACTCCATAAATAAACCGATATCAGGAGATGCTCATAAACGCAGTGTTTTTTTCGTAAAACTGATGTGTATCGCACCTAAACGTCCTAATAACGACTTCCTCGTTATCAGAAGTCTTTTACTGTTGAACCCCAAACAGAAGATAAGTGGACAGTAAGAGGATAGATAGATCTAGTTTCTATACGAAAAATGAGGGTATTATATGACCTTAAATTTTTAAAAGATTGTGGGAAACATTAAAACTGGTAACGAATCCGGTAGTAATTAAATCACTCTGCTTTCTAAGGCATCTACCAAAATTTTCTAAAGAGCACTTCTTAATCGGAGTGTTTTCACTAATTTCTCAGCTTCTGCAAACGTTTCTAAGGAATTATTGAGGGCTCTGGACAAAAATGACCTACATGTGCATAAAATTGTCAAACACATACATGATTAAAAACAATTTGAAGATTAGACGATTGATAATTCCAAGTTTTGTAGAACATTATTTGAACAAACCAAAACCTGACTATCAGATCTCGTCTCGGTATCACTTCTTTCAATGAAACATGAGTATTTACAATCAAAAATTAAAAGACTTACTAAAAGAGTTCAATAATTTTCTTTTTAGATCATGTTGCTAATGTCTCTTTCTTGGACAATACTTGTAAGATTTAAAAATGTGACCTTGAGAGTTATCTGCATGTGTGATCTTTAAATTGCGACTTTTTATATAGTCCAACAAACATTTAAGGTAAAAACAACTTACGGTGATTAACGAAAAATGTCGTTAGTGGTATGTATTCATATGATGATTACGTAATAGCAATAATTGCTGTAAAACTCCACATATGATTCGGTCATGTAACATTATTCAATATCACATAAACGTGACACTATTATTAAGGGTATAAATCTCATTATTAATATTTAGGACTGAATTTTGATCAATCATTGTTGAGATATGTAGACATCAGTACTGGAATGTATCAGACACATCCAGCTGACGAGTCCTAAGTGGAGCGAAACGCGCGTCTCTCAATCATAACCACAGTATGTATGTTCTATTTCATATACATATTTTTCTTTCCTGTCTTTCTTGCACAGTGAAGGTCGGTAAAAGTACCTTTTTTACCGTTGAATGTATATTCAAGGTCTTCGATTTTACCGGTGTTGTTCTTTTTCAAACTAAATCATATTAATTTGGCTTCCACCTTTATTGTATCCTATTACTCAATTTATTTTTGTGTGTAGAAATTTTATTCTCACTTTGGCATAATAATACTTTAAGTGAATGTGACTAATATTGGTCCAGTTAGCATCAAGCATTACTCCTAAGTATTTTGACTAATATGATGTGTGTGTGTAACCAACCATTAGTTTACAGGTTGAGATACTCAATTTTCAATTACCATGTCAACTTGGCTTAGGCACTCAGATCATTTGAACTAGTATGTGTCACTCGATAGTGAATGCATGGACCTTGTTTCCTGGCTATAATATGTTTTATTGACTTAATCACAAAAAATTTAATCTAATTGTTCAAACCTGACGTTAGATAGCATGGCCTAGAATTGGTCACAATCTTTTATAGCTCAGATCCATTCATTTTTGCTTTTCCCCTAAATCTTCAGCTTCAATATTATGTAGTACGTTTTATCCCTCGAATTCATCCCTTCTTTTCGAATAAAATTCTCTTATATCTAATCTTTCTTACTATCACTGATACTACTGTTATTTAAGTTCTTTGCTATTCCTCACCCTCCTAATCTAATATAACAACTTGGGTTGATGCTTGACCGTTCATTGTTGAGAAAAATCATTGCTACGAATAGTGATTAGCTAAAGACAAAACCTTAATGCCATTACACCCCGTGGTAAAGTCTACAGTAGGACTTTTTTGTAGGATCTTAAGTTCCCTGCTTTTAGTCTTACCTCTCTCGAACCAATATAACTCGACTGTCATCATGATATGCGAGGTCAAGACCATCGGCCAAAGTAGCATCACCATCAGTTAATATCTGTTATTGCCTACCATGAGTAAGTTAGCATGTTCTATTACAAATAATTAGATCAATTGTAGGTAACAGTTTTATATTCTGTACTACCTAGTTGGGTTTAGGCAGCCACGTTGTATCACTAACCTTTACATAAAGTTTTGCTCATATTTGGTGAGTTACGTTGCCGTCAAACAAATAGTTAATTTCGAATTGTCCTGCGATCTAACCAATGACTTTGAAGTCGTTTTCAATTTAAGGCCGTATGATTTTGCTTCGGTTAGACGATAAAAGGTAAACAGTTATTTTCAATGCTTGGCTGAGTGGTTTTTCGAGATTCTCTTAGCTCGAAGACATTAACTGTATGCTGACCTTGGATAAGGAAGGAAATTGATTCGAAGCTTATTAATACCTTCGATACATTAGGCTACTTCGTACAACCTTGTGACAACACGTGTGGATTCGATTATGATTAAATTGGTTTTGTGGGCAGCTTATCCTAAATAACTAACTAAATAATCTGCTGGGTCGACGCTGACTGGCTGCTCAGACTCACGTTCTCATGCAAACCAATGAGGAGAATGGCGAGAAGATAATGGGACAAACGTCCGTATCTGAAGAATCTACCAACCTAACAAAGTACACCAATAAATATATAAATCACTAATCAAAATAACTTATAAAATAAAATATGTACCAAAATGAAGATACTTCGGATAACTCATGATTAGGTTACAACCATTTGGGAATAGAACATGATACGATGACAGTTTATGGATCAGAAATATGCTTAAAATTAATGAAATAAGGAAGATTCGTGACCCAACTGTTAATAATCACACATTAAAAAGTATAGATAATAATGTCCCGAAAATTAGGTTGCATATTTTGTTATTCTCCTTTACTCTTCCCGTTATAAGAACTTATGAAAGATTGACACGGGCTGAAGAACTCAGTAGACAAGGACAGTTGTTTCATATGTGCTTACAAATCCTCAAAATTACACATAGAATGAAACTTTTAGGTCATATGGCGAGTACAACACTTAGACTACTAAATTCAATGGTCCTTTTTTAACTTGTGTTTGTGTGTGAGTTTATAAGAGAGCATACAAATAATCATAAAATGAAAATTCGGTACTTTCCAAGTTATATTAGTGCCCAATATGATACTATCATACATTTTCACGTGCATTTATATAATTTATCTTTATTTTCTTTGCAGACTTCAACGAAAGACTAAAATTCCATACAATAAAATGATATTTTTCGATGATCTACAGTGGAATATCAAAGAAGTAAAAAGTCTAGGTGTTCACAGCCATCACGTACCTAATGGTGTGCACACGGGAGCTTTTCGTAAAGCATTGAAAGAATATGAACAATTTTGGTCTTGTAAATAAGAAATCTATTTAACAAACTACATTATTATCGCCATTGTTCTTCTCTTTCTCCCTTGTATCAAACAAACTGTTTCTAGTCATTTCAAAGAGAGAGAGAGAGCGAGCGAGTGAGAGAAAAAACTATATTTATTTCTGTATCTTTTGAAAGCTTTATCGAGATAATAATATTCACTAGTGTAAGTGCCATTAATAACCGAGGTGGGGTGGGGTTCACAATAATAACCAACTGTTTTGTCGTAGTTTGCGATTTTTGACTGATGAACAAAACATCCATCACCTAAGCTGAAAGTAAGCTTCAAACGACTTCCGTTCTTGTTAGAAAACTACCCTTATCTGTAGTGATCTATTCAAAATAACGTAGGAGTTAGAAACCGACAGTTGTATGGTTTCAACTGAATTATTTTAAAAATATTCTGTCATTGTACACATCCATTTTGTTTGCAATAAAATAGATATTATTTTTATTAAGCTTTGTGATATTTTTTGTTTTAAGTTTTCTTAAATTAACATTGTAATAAGTAAAGATGGGTGTTGGCTAACAGTGGAATTCAGGACGCGGGTTTCATCCTCTCTGGGACTCGTCAGATGGATGTAACTGCACCCCAGAGTTGATGTTCATTCTGGGACTCAAATTCAGTACCGTTCGCATTTGGGATGCAGGTGCGTCCAACTGACGAGTCCGAAATAGAACGAAACGCGCTTCTTGGATTTCACTGCTAGCCATCATTCTTGTTTGCTGACATTGCTTGCGACTTAAGGCAATATAGAGGCAATCCACACAAGATGCACATATGCCAATAAGAGGCTGATCAATCGCGATCCTGAACGTCAATGGGAAGATCCAAACAAACAATACAAAATGAATTTAACATTGTAATACTCAACTAATAAATTTGACTTTGAAACTTGCTGATCGATTTTACTTATTATGATTACCTAGTTGTAATCTGTAATGTTATAATTTGTAAACCGATTTCTATGCCATAATGTTTGACTGAAATATAATTAAAACAAAGGTATTTACTATCATCTGTATGTTGACCCCAAGTTGTCGTACTACATTAACAGAGCGGAATGAAATTATCAAAACAAATACCAAAGTAGTCGAAGTAATTATAGTGTGTCTAGAAGTAGAAAATATGGGTCATAGACAAAATGATTCGAATATTAGAGAGTACAAGTTAATATCAAAATTCAGGATTTCTGGGCCATCGTGACCAATTCGGAGTTAATTAGAATCATTGTCTTTAAGAATCAGTTACGACAATTTAACAGACCCCTAACCTGGCAATCTCCATCTATCGATATGACTTAGTCTAACAGTTAATGAAGATTTGCTGATGCCACACTTTGGTTTGGCAGCTGTTTTCTTTCTTACAACCTACTCCTACACTAGTATACATCACCCATCGAGTTGACCGGTAGTTGGGGATACCAAATTACTTCAATCGATGAAGACTCACAGTCCCACCAACTGATTTGCCATATTTACCTAGTATCTAACTTCAAATCCAACATCGTTGACTTGATGGTCCCAGCATATGTAAACAATACTTCGAAGGTATCGACGACTAAATATTAGTAAACCATGAACACCATCTAGCTTTACTATGTTATGTATATAGCTATTTTTGTTGGATCTAATCTTTCATTCATAATTTTATTTCGCAAATCATTCGAAAAATGTAGTGACCGAAGCTTCCTATTTTTTAGAAAACAAATAAAACTTGTTGGAAAATAAACCGATCTCAGTCAGATACTTCCAGATATATTTCCCAGTTATGAAAATATAGAATAATCTGCTTTTTGATTTTAAGTGAATAGTCTTTCACATGTGGAATAGCTAAAATCATGTAGGCTAATATGGAATATTCAACAGCCCAGAGATCCTTTATAATCACAGGCTTGTTTTTTTCTGGCCTTAACAAATGTGATCACTTCATAAATCTTTTTACGTATTATCTGTCTATTCTATTATCTACTTAGTTGAACATATAAACATTGGTACAACGGGGCATCACTAGATAAACGCCGTGGAACAAGTCTTTATAAGCAACAGATGGAGAGTAAATTTGCAGTACTTCACTAGTCTTGAGTACGAGTCTCGATGTTGATACTTTGTAAAGACATAGCCAACCCTATCTGTTGTCCGATCTGCATTAGGGTGCGAACTTTGCAGGAAACCAGTTTGAATGGTTTACATGGATTCAAGAAGACTGGTTCAGAATCTGTGTGGTAGAATTCAACTTTCCAGCAGTCAGTGACTTGAACTTGTATATATAGGACAGAGTTCCCATCACAGGCGAGCTGCTGCAGAAGCTGAAGAATAAAGGAATATCCAAATGGGAATAACGGGATAGAAAAGTGACGCGATGTAAAATATAGGAGAATATTAACAAACAGTTTTGAGTATGAATCGCGAGACTGAGAATTAAGGCGTAAATAGATATTATAACTGTAGACATTTAGTTTGTGTATGGGATGGGTTACTGACTGGACCCCAAGACCGAAGCGGGTGGTTTTACTAGGGGCCATACCCCGAGCTTCCAAGTTAGAGGTCTAATCCACAAGACAGTAGAGCAACGTTAGGCGATGCGGTCCCATGGAAACCTTTAGTCAACAATGAATTCACTCGCCATCTCTTCCCTCGGGATCCTGGAGCCCATGCGCACCATCGGTTTTGAATTAGGGTTTTCCAACTCCCCCAGGTGGATCCTGCATGTCCATCAACCCTGTTAAAGTTGTAGACATTCACTTTCTATCCTTCCAATTTCGTAAATAACCCTCCACCCCAAGAAGGCTTTGATTAGGACTTCCGTAGTAGTTTCTGTATATGCATGGTCACGAGCGGGACAGTGGACTCTCCCCACCCGCAGCCGTGCCAGGGCATTTGGAAACATGAGAAGCAGTTTTGGTCAAGTTGAACTGTTTACCGCAAAACGTAGCTGTATTTCATTGGCCAGAAACATAAGGTTTCTGTTGTGCTACATCTAGGATATGTCTGGTAATTATGGTTTTTATCTCACCAACCAAATATAATGATAGTTTTGTTTGATAGTCAGACTTTCTATACATAGTTTTACAATTAAATCAACTGATAGAAAGTTGTAAAGCCGGGGAAATCCGGATATATCACATGCCTATGCTCAATATCAAATGACAGTTGAGAGATAAGAAACAAGGCTTATTATCGGCTGAAGCCGATTATACATATAGTCAAGGTCTCAACCCAGAAATAGTTATGTGGCTGGTGACCGTTATATGAAGTGGAAGTGAGTCATTGCAAAACTTTTAGTATTATTCCTAACCTACTAAAAATTGGTTCAGTTTCAAAAGAACATATTGCAATGAAAATATCGGTAAAACTATGATTTATGGACGACCTTTGAGTGATGCTAAAGTGACCTTGAGAGTATCCATCTAATAACTAGTACCAAATGAGGATTATGAAACCTTGTAGAGAATTAGAATTATGATTTTACAGTTGATGGTTGAAGTTAGAAATTAGATTTAAGGTTTTCATCACGAACTGATATCAGCTACAATGCCAAAACTCAATTTATCCAAATAGGTGGGTGAATCTCGCGCCAAAATTCGAGACCTGTTATCATATACCTGGTTGATTCGTCCATAAATTATAGTCTCGCTAAACTATCTTTTACAATTTATAAAATAGGCCAGTCATATATATATATATATATATATATATATATATATATATATATATATATATATATGAATCGGGTAGAACTTGATATTGTGTTGGGTCGGCTTCCAAGAACTACAACGTAGTCTCCAGACGCTCTAAAGAGACCGAAGGTTTCGAGCCAATCAGAACATGGTGGAGCTTTCTAGAATATCAACATTGCATGCTACTATTGGTCAGTAGCATCGTATGTCTCTTAGCGGATTGGCCAAAATATGGTGTTTATTTATCAAGTGCTAATATTTATAAATACCCGTGATTTTCTGTACACTTTGATTCTTACCAAATAAACACTTCTCCAACTCTTCTTCTGATTTGTAACGGTAAAGTTCAACGTTCGAGTGTCATAGTCTCTAAACCGTATTGTGAGTTAATCAATTAGCCAACTTAACACATTGTTTAATCAATGAATGTACACATCAATAGATTAAACTGTTGTTGTTGTTTTTTTTCTTTCTAACTAACCAATGTAACTGAGTTATATATTTGCTTCTCCTTAAAGATTTGTAAAATAGTCACCTTATAAACAAAGTACTATAGATCTTGTTAGACATAATTTTGGCATGTGAATATTTTCATTTTACTATATTTACATTAAATTAGAAATTATTAATGACAATTTTAATTTTGTTCAATAATTAATTACTTAAATGAATAAATTTAATTGAATTTCATATTTACACTTTATTTAATATTTTATTTTGTTTAAATTGTAACTAACATACACACGTGACTATGATTCAACATTTTTAGTGAAGTCTACCAAAAATAGAAAACTATATAAAGGTTATTAACAGGTTTAGAAAAAATTAATAATGATAATTATTTTTTCTATTCAGATAAAAATAATATATCAGAAGGGATTTTGTGGAGATTTTAGTAATTTCAATAGTTGGAATCATGAGTCAGTTGAAGCTAGACTACCATGGAAAACCTGAAAACACTGGACGGCCGTGTTGTCCCACTGTGGGACTCCTCAGCAGTGCGCATCCACGATCTCGCCCCCCCCCGCGAGATTCGAACCTAGGAGTCCTATACTAGGACAAAACAGCTGTCCAGTGCTTCCAGGTTTTCCATGGTGGTCTAACTTCAATTGACTCATGATTTTAAAAATAATATAGAAAATTAGTTGGTGGATTCAATTATTAGAGGTTAGACGTTCGCACATGAGACCGAAAGTTTCGAGTTTGAATCGTATGAGCGGGATCATGAATGCGCATTACTGAAACGTCTCATATTAGGATGAAATGGCCGTTCAATGATTTCAGATTTTCAATAATGATATAAGATTAATAGATTCATGATCTCAATCAAAAGAATCCAATTATTACTCTGTTTTAAAACCAATTAAGTTTGAAAAACTTAAAAGTAGCGAGCTGTTTGTTTGTTGTGATCTGAGTAGTAATAGTAGTGGTAAGATCTTGGTTAAAGAGTTAAAAAAGCAACTTGTTATGTTCCTTCTGAATCTGAAAAGAGAACATATTGACTGGTAATCAGAGAGGTAATTAAACAGTGACAGAGCAACATTCGTTAATGTCTACGGAAGTAACATAGATATCAAGTCTTATTTTGAAAGACCCGTACAATGTTACCGATACTATGGATTCTGGTGGAAGCATCACAATTTTCTAATTTAAACCAAGAAAAAATTATCTTGAAGTTTTGTACGATCTCTTTCCTGTTCTATTTTGAGTAAATGTATTCATAAGTGTAGTTTGGTAATGAAATATATGTGATTTGCTAACGTAAAAAGATCATGAGTTATAAAATA